AAAATCAAAAATCCAATGAAAAACCAAAAAAAAAATAACATTCCAAAGCCTACTTGATAAAACTTGAGTTTTCGTTGCTTACCCTCTTGGAAAACTGGGAATTTTTGGCGGAAAATGAAGCCTCGTATTTTAAACTAGTTTTCCCCGATTGAAAACGACCTGAAAAAGCGGAAAATTCGAGAAAAAACTGGATAAAATAGAATGTAAACACGTCAATTAAAAATGACCTACTGTCAAAAGAAAAGTGGCAAATGACATTTCATTACAAGGCCTACTTGATTAAAAAGCGACGTTGCCACATTTCAAATAGGAAAAAACTATCGGGTCTTCAAAAAAAAAAACCAATCGAGGATTGCTTTGATTACGAAAACGTACGTCGCATTACTGTTTTTTCATTGGTCAGGATTTTTGACATGACATTTTGACATTAAGTTCATTGACAAAATTAAAGAAAAATATTGCTTAGACATACGTTCAAAAAACCATAGCAATCTTTGATTGGTTTTTTTTTTGAAGACCCGATACATTTCAAATGGTTTTTGGCAAAAACTTGAAAATATGTAAACACAAAACAATGAACAAGTTTAATGACGGCAAGTACTTTCCGCCAGTAAGCTTTCCAAATGTAAACGCAGCTTTAGATACGTCATCAAAAATTCAGGGTTGAATTGAATTCAAAAATCTCACGAATAGTCGTAACTTGAGTTACGTCTGTTTGTTAGATTTTGAAATCAACGTTTTTAGTATACGCCAATAATTTGAAATGATCTATCTAATAAAGTAATATAGATTGAGATATGATACTTCGTGAGGCTAAAATACATGGAAAAATAAAATTCCGGACAACTTATCTCAAATTTTGAAAAAAATGAGATACGACACTTTGTGAGATAGGGGACGGTATGTCTTAGCAATATTTTCTTTTAATTTTGTCAATGAACTTAAATGTCAAAATGTCAGGTCAAAAATCCTGCCCAATAAAGAAACAATAATGCTACGTACGTTTTCGTAATCAAACTTTTCCAGTGAAAAATAACAGAATGGGAAATTATTGAAAATCAACTTACAAAATCCAAATTAACCAAAAATGCACCATCTTACATTTTATTATTTTTCTGGAAAACTACAATAGGGAAAATTATGAAACTTTTAGGGAGATAAGAAGAAAGTTAGAAGCTCATCATACTTAAATTTCAAACTTTTTCAGTGAAAAATAACAAAATGGGAAATTAATGAAAATCAACTTACAAAATCTAAATTAAGCAAAAATGCATCATCTTATATTTTATTATTCTTCTGAAAAACTAGGTACTTTAGGGAAAATTATGAAACTTCCTGGATAAAAAGAGGAAAGTTAGGAGCTCATCATACTAAAATTTCAAACTCTTCCAGTGAAAAATAACAGAATGAGAAATTAATGAAAATCAATTTGCAAAATCTAAATTAAGCAAAAATACACCATCTCACATTTTATTATTTTTCTGGAAAACTACCATAGGGAAAATTATGAAACTTTCAGGGGAAAAAGAGGAAAGTTAGAAGCTCATTATACTAAAATTTCAAACTTTTCTAGTGAAAGTTAGGAGCTCAGCATACTAAAATTTGAAACTTTTCCAGTGAAAAATAACAGAATGGGAAATTGATGAAAATCAACTTGCAAAATATAAATTAAGCAGAAATGCACTATCTTACATTTTATCATTTTTCTGGAAAACTACTATAGGGAAAATTATGAAACTTTCAGGAGAAAAAGAAGAAAGTTCGGAGCTCATCATACTAAAATTTCAAACATTTTCAGTGAAAAATAACAGAATGGGAAATTGATGAAAATCAACTTGCAAAATCTAAATTAAGCAAAAATGCATCATCTTACATCTTATTATTTTTCTGAAAAACAAGGTACTATAGGAAAAATTATGAAACTTTCTGGATAAAAAGAGGAAAGTTGGGAGTTCATTATACAAAGATTTCAAATTTTTACAGTGAAAAATAACAAAATGGGATACTAATGAAAATCCAAATTAAGCAAAAATGCATCTTCTCACATTTCAATATTTTTCTGGAAAACTACTGGAAGGAAAATTATGAAATTTTCTGCAGAAAAAGAGGAAAGTTGGGAAGTCATCATACTAGAATTTCAAATTTTTCCAGTGGAAAATACAAAAATGGGAAATTAAAGAAAATCAACTTGCAAAATCTAAATTAAACAAAAATGCACCCCCTTACATTTTAATTTTTTTCTGGAAAATAGTGAAGGAAAAATTATGAAATTTTTTGGAGGAAAAGAGGAAAGTTAGGAACTCATCATACTAAAATTTCAAACTTTTCCAGTGGAAAATAGCAGAATGGCAAATTAATGAAAATCAACTTGCAAAATCTAAATTAAGAAAAAATGCAATCTCTCACATCTCAATATTTTCCTGGAAAACTACTGGAAGGACAATTGTGAAATTTCCTGGAGAAAAAGAGGAAAGTTAGGAGCTCATCATACGAAAATTTCAAACTTTTCCACTAAAAAATAAAACGAGAAATTAATGAAAATCAACTAAATGAAGCAAAAATGCATTCTCTTACATTTTAATTTTTTTCTGGAAAACTACTGAAGGGAAAATAATTATGAAATTTACTAAAGAAAAAGAAGAACTTACCAGCTCATCATACTAAAATTTTGAACTTTTCCAGTAGAAAATACAAAAATGGGAATAGGTACACGCTTTATTGTCACATGGATGGTATTTATCCAATGCGACATAGATATCCTTTTCCCTCGTAAGGATAGAACGAGAGAAAGATAACGCTCTAAACGACCCACCTACTTGGATGTTATAAATAAAGAATAAAGTGAACTGGGCTTGGCAATAAGAAATGAGAAAGATAGGTATAGAATAGGATGTCGATTTGTCAAATCTTATTCAATATATAAAAAGCAAAACCATAATAAGAGTTCATTTTTGGATGATGGATTTCTCAGGAAACGCCAAAACCATGTTAAATGTCAAATTGAATTGAATAAAAAAACAATCACTAGTTTTTTACTTCACATAAACAACCTCAACTCAAACCAAACCGTTGAGAATGGAATTCATCCATCAATGTGATAACGATATTCCTTTCCATCTCATAAGGACAGAGCGAGAGAAAGATTACACTTTAAATGGCCTTCTTGGATGTTATAAATAAAGTGAAATGGGCTTGGCAATAAGAAACGAGAGAGATAGGTATAGAATAGGATGTAGATTCTTTAATATCTGGGAGAACGCTGATGCGAAAACTTATAAAACACAAAACCGTAATTAATTTTCGGATGATGGCTTTTCCTGTCTGAAATATCAAAACCATGTTAAATGGCAAATTGAATTTACTGCCAATATTTTGTGTCTTTAAATTTTCAGATAATCTGAAGGAATATGTTTTGGAGAATTTTTTCCCAAATGTTTGGCAATACTGTAAGTATATCACTCTATCAGGAGTGATTACTGAAACTGGTACCTATATATTCTGTGATAACGTCCACTCCAAATTATCAGAAAATAATTAAACTCTTTCACAGGAAATTTTTCTTTGTTGGAACAAACCTCTACACGTACAAAACAATAATTAATTAATAATTACTTGATCAACACAGCTGAATTCATCATCTAAAAATAGGCATAATCGATTCATAACTATTCTTTTCGCGTACCAGTAACGACCGCAAATTATATGTATTTCTATTTCTAGTTATACTAGTGCAAAATCGTCTATATCGACGTAAATAATATAATTTCCGGCCGTTTTATAATAGTGGCTTTATGACGTAGGTGGTACCGACATTAACATCAATAGTTAAGTATTGTAAATTTGAAGAAAACAACATGCAAAACATGAGGTTGTTGTTGGGAATTCCGGGTCATATAAGAATGTATTATGTATTTAATTTGTTTGATTGTTGCTAAAATTCCAGTTGGAAAACAATTATTTCAACTAGCATTTTTTTCAAGCTGAAATTAGTTCTATGAAAATTGCAATTGACACAAAACAATAAATAAATTGTCATTTAAGTAGGCCAATAATTGGTTGACAAATGACGTTCAATTCATTGTTTATATGTCAACTGTTGCCAAACGTTTGAAAACCTCCTAGATATTGAGGAAGGATTAGATTTAAAGCTTTGTAATCAATCCTTCGTTGGTTTTCAACCCTATTATAAGTGAATTATTGATAGATTATCTTGAAAAATTACCAACTGCGTATAAAATAAATATGCTCAAAATACTGTAACAAACAAACTATAAAACTAAAATTAACTCCTACCTTTCCCACCTTGCCTCTACATCTAATAATAAGCCAGACTTTAGCCAGGCCGCTATCCAGGCCTGCCCCCCTATTCAAAATCTTGATTGCATTGTAAACATTGTGAACACTTCAAGTAGTGGCTTCCTAAATGTTGGATGTTAGAAAATTAGCTGTTTAGTTTTGTTTGTTTTGTGTTCGCACCTAAAAACAATGGCCAGTCGTATTTGGCCGACGTTCAAATCATACGCGACCGACAATTTCGAGGTATTTTAGATTTCCGGTGTAGTTTTTAAATGGTTTGTATAACCCGGTTATAATAAACGAGCACTCGTACAAAACGAAATTTATGTTGCATTTATGAAGAGTTTGTATATAGCAAGATTAGTTGGGGTTTATAGAACCCGAGTTCCCTTATATATACGCTCTAGTTTGCTTTCTAGTATTCTAGATACTTCTCCTGGAACGCTTGTCTAGGTTGGCCTTTTTTTCTTGGATAGTGATTGGTAATGATAGAAACAAGAAAGAAGAAACATTTGTGGCACTCTTTCCTACTAAGATTCTCCTTTTTTTTTACTTTGGCTACCAGTCTTCATCCCCATATCAATCACTACCCAAAAAAAAAACCCAGCCTCTCTCTCTATATTAGTCTATATTTATATGTATGTATGTGAAATCCAAATAAATAACAAAATAATACAAATAATTTTCGTTTTCCTCAAAACCAGGTCCTGCCTATGTCCGAAGAATACCGTCGGGCATTTTACAGTGGCAACGACACGCCCTCGTTGGACATCGACTTGTCACCTCCTGATTTGAATGGTAAAACGGAAATCTTGACCGATGAGCACAGGGAATCGCTATGCAGGCATTTGCCTGCTAGGGCCGAAGGCTACGCCTGGACGCTGGTGTTCAGCACGAGCCAGCACGGGTTCAGCCTGAACAGCATGTACAGGAAGATGTTCAAGCTGGAGTCGCCGATTTTGTTGGTCATCGAAGATACTGACAATAATGTAAGTAGTTTTTATGTCAAAATATGCAATGACTTAGGAATTTTTGAGAAATTGCTGCCAATAAGTGAATAATTTCAAGTCTTCTGAGATTATGATTTTCCCGCTTCTCTTAAATCACTTCAACTTTGTTTATTAATGATGTTTTTTGGCTTGTTTCTAATCAAGTAAATTCGTTTGACTGTTCTTCCAAAGTCTTTCCTAAATAAGGTCTTCAGGTAATATCATTTTTGGATCACCCTGTAACTTTGAACAATTTGTTAATACATACCTACTTCCAGAGAGTATACTTTGTGTCTTCACTTTCTTCGACTTTGCATTACTCCTATATTAAAACTGATATTTCTTTTCATGGCCACTGATTTTTTTCACTGAGTCCAATTATTTTCATATACCATTTCCCACTGTTTGTGAATGTTATTTTGACCCCTATTCTTCTCTAATTTATGGGCTATCAATCCTTCACCCGCGGTCGCCTTCTGTTTTGATGTTATATTATTATAGGTGTGATAAATGTTCAAGGGTTTTGACCTGTCGCACATAAATTACAATTTTTCAATATTTTTGTCTTGAATTTTATGTTTTTGTTTTCCTAAGATAACAATATAATAATGTAAGTTACTAGAAAAAGAGAAATATTTGAAGTAAAGTGCACTGGTCTATGAAAAATTCAGTTAAACGGGTTCCTAAAGGCTCTATCCCATAAGTGATGTATGATTCCACCAGAGAAAGATATGTGGTTCTGAGACTTCGCAACTCTAACTGCTCTGAGAGTACTCTCAAAGCAAAACAGCTAAGTGATAACTTACCAGAGACTGCCACAATATGCTGCTCAAAGTTGAGATTTTCGTCCACTGTAACTCAAAGAAACTCTCTGAAAAATTCGAGCTGTTCAAGCCTAGATGGCATAACATCAAGGATATCAAAACAGACTCTTCTAAAAATCCTGGAACCACTCACTCACAATATAAATAGGTGTTTTGAAACAGGAATAATCCAATCTCATTTCAAAATTACAGTTATTGATCCTTTACACAAAAGTGGCTCTAGGACTTCTATTAAAAACTATAAACCAATAAGCATGATAAGTAGGTACCTTTGCTAAGTTGTTTGAGAAATGTCTAGGCTATGTACATTTCTTCAAAATAACAAAATCTTGTCTGGGAACCAATTTGGTTTCATAGAAAAGTCCAACACAGAGGATTCAATGATTGCAAGATTGTAAAGAATTTGAATTTGAGAACATAGTTTGCGGTTCTCTTTATTTACTCAACTAAGGCATTCGACACAGTCTCCCACGATAAACTTCTTCTTGTTCTAAAAAAATATGAAGTCAGGGGAATTTTGTTGGGGTTGTTTCGAAATTATTTCTTTGATAGATACCAAATTGTCAGATAAGAGATTAAAATTGGTGTAGGTACCTCAAGGTACAGGGTTATTGGTTATAAATGTCACCCCCCTCTATCTTTTTTATTCGACATTTTAGAAAAAAGTATCCCAAATAAAAAATTTATGGTTGAAATAAATGTTTTTGAAAAACTAGTTTTTGTATATACAGGGTGTTTCAGAAAAGATAGTCGTGCTCCAACTTTCTTATTTTAAATTGAATACCCTGTATATTATTCAATATTCGGATTCTACGTCAAGTTCTGAGCAGATTTCATGTGATATACCCTATACCTAAGTTCAACTGTTTTGGAAATATTGAAAGTTGAAAATTGACTTTTTTGCAAATTTGACAGGCTGTAAAACCTAAACGGTTAACTTTTGAGCAAAACCGATCTTAAATTTTTTTCTAAGATTTTCACAAGTTATAATTTGACACCAACTTTGAATTTAACCGAAGACTAAATTCAATTGGAATTTTCAATCATGAACTAAATTCAAAGTTGATGTCAAATATTGGTGTCAACTGATAGTTCATAAAAATCTAAGATAAAAATGTAAGATCGGTTTTGCTCTAAAATTAACCGTTTAGGATTTACAGCCTGTCAAAGTTGCAAAAAAGTCAATTTTCAACTGTCAATATTTCCAAAACAGTTGAACTTAGGTATAGGGTATATCACATAAAATCTGCTCAGTATTTTACGTAGAATCCGAATATCCAATAATATACAGGGTATTCTATTTGAAATAAGAAATTTGAAGCACGACCAGCTTTTCTGAAACACCCTGTATATGCGAAAGTGATTTTTTCGAAAAATTTAATTTCACCCATAAAACTTTTATTTGGGACACTTTTTTCTAAAATGTCAAATGAAAAAGATAGAGGGGGGTGACATTTATAACCAATAACCTTGTATTATTACTTACTTAATAGTGTACTGTAATTACATATAAAAGGTAAATTGATTTCATATGCGAATGACACAGTTTTGGTGTTCAATGGAAATTCTTGGAATTAAATTAGAGAAAAAATGATAGTAGGTCTCGCCATAACAAAAAGCTGGTTAGATTCTCCCCTTCTCGCAGGCTTGCTTTTTCTCTGATAAATGCTAACAGACCACATTTTGATTACCTTGAATTTGCCAATCATAGTATATCTTTCAAATAGAACTAAGAGACTAATACATACATTTCATATAATCAGGCAATTTCTGAGCGAAAAACTATTGATCTCAGTCTTTAGGGCCCTTGTCGAATCGCTACTCAGATATGGAATATTGGTTTGGGGAGGAGCCTAACAATCTCCATTGACAAGTTTAGTGATCACTTAAAAATATATTTGGAAAATCATTTACAAGAAAGACAGACTATACCCCAAGGCATCCACATGCGCCATTTTGGTTCCTGAGCGGTATTCGATGTAAAAATCGAATTCCTGCATGGAAAGCCACTATCTAGTATTACGTGGGACTAAACAACTATATCAGAACGATGATGGCAGTCTCCAAGTCGTGTGGTATTTTCCAGAGTGGGAAGGACATGTCCACCACCTCATCCTTTCAAAAAATATTACCTCCAAAAACTAAAAATACAGATAGATTAAGTGCCGGTACTTTTGTTCTCATTGGACAGTCGTTAAAAATAATCAGGGCTTTGAATGTGCTCTAACCCCATCATACTTAGACCTTGGCCCATGCAAAACTTTAACGACGTATGAAATTCGTTAATCGAGAGCAAAAGTATCGGCCCTAAAACTATCTAATTTGAATTTATCAAGATATTATACAAATACAATACTATAATGTGGAAAATGAGATCAGAAGTTGAACATTGAGAATGACTGAATCCGTTAACTGTGTGCATCAGTTCACCTAGATTTGATGAATTCCTTCAGAGGTCTCCTGAAGCTGAAAGCATTCGAGGCCGCCCTTTAAAATAATGTCAAAAATTTTTGCTGCACTGTAACTGAAGGATCTTTCAAATGGTGCAGTCCTATGTTCAGGTACACTCAATAGGCTACTACGACGAACGGAGCACTCATGGAACGAGCCAGACCTGATTAATGTCTGCTCAGTACCTAGGTGTGCTAGTTTTATTGATTTTTTGAACTAGACAGCCAAGCTGGACTTCAGATCTCTGCTGGAGATTTAGTCATCCGGATTGTATAAATTTTGGAGATATGTGGTCATATTTACGAATACCTAAATTGAATCGAATACATGAATTTTAAACTTTTGCAGACTGTCTCTATCTCTTTGATGCAAAGCGGGCTAGAAAACAACACTGCAGTACGCAAGCTGTGACGAAACTAAAGTGTCGCACAGTCTAAGTTTAATGTCTATACTCAAAGTTTTCCTGTGAATCTAAAGAGTTTTTAGACCGACATATAACTTTTGAAGTAAAGTAGAGACAAATTGTGAAAATCTGAAATCCGAATCCATCCACAGTCCCAGATTCCTACAGTAGTTGGAAACATTTGATGGTATTATTGAGACAAATCTCTATGGCTCCCATAAACCAACATTTCTATTCTATGGCTTCCATAAACCAACATTTCTGTCTTCAAGGTATTCATTTTTAAGCCGTGGGTGCTAGAGAGCTCATAAATAGAGCCAGGCGGACATTACCGATGGGAAAAAAGTAGTATAGTTGCTGATCATCTGGTGCAAATTAGATAATTTTAAAAAAGTTGAAAAATCACTGTATAGATGGAAAATATTAGAAGGCCTGAGATACTCCCTTGGGGAACACCTTTATTAAGGGCCAAATTATGGACTGATTGATATATGTCTGGCTGTTACTGTTTTGGACTGTATTTCTTGTTAGTTGATCTTGAAATAATGGACTAGCAGATGATGATGATAAATACGTGGTTAATTGACATTTACTATTTGATTTTTTAAATGAAAAAATGATTTTTTATAAAGGCTGCTTGTTTCTTGTACGGCGGTGCTGCTTCTCGGCGGTGCTGCAGACGTTCCAGCTGACTTGTCCAGCTGTGTATTTTCTCTCTCTCCTTCGTGCTTTAAGCCGGGCTCACAAGTCACAGCACAATGCTGCCAAGCCTCGATACGAAACACTGATGACGTAGGAATAAACACAAAAAGGTTTGAGTGGCCGAAGCAGTTACCTAGCAGGTACTTTCTATGCACTAGAGAATAGAAAGTACCTGCTAGGTAACAACCAGACACTTACCAGTTGGTCCATTATCCGTGTGTGGTTAAATTCAGCTGGTGTAGGCTCCGTGGTGGAATGGTAGAACAAGCAGTGTTGTTAAATTAACCAGGGTTTGACAAGCTGTGGTTTGGCATTGGCATTAGTGAATTTTAATCACCTTATCCGTGGCGGTGCTCCATTTTGGTGAATTTAGCAACACGCGGAATATGGCCCTTAAAGTAATAGAATTAGAATAACTACCATTTTGTTTTTTCGCTAAATTTTTCTGGCCTATACCCTTCGATGTCTTGATATTTTTTGCTGTTTCTTTTATTGTTTTCGTTATTCTTTTAATAATTTGATTTTTGTATTCGTGGGGTTTTATGGGGTCTTTCTTCAGTTTTTGTGTTAATTTTGTTGCGAATTCTATTTTTTGGGTTTTACTGGTATGTGTGCCTAAT